ATTTTAATAGAAACAAACCAAGTTTTAGTACATCCAGACCGGAGTATAGGGCTAATCCGCAAAAAACATTCATCCCTTCAAATCAAGGACCACCCCAAGCCTTCTGCCGGTACTGTAAGCTGCTAAAATGATAAATAATATGTACAGGCTAGTTACACACAGTGTTCCAGCATACACATCAGCTTCAACAGAGAATGATTTTTATTTATGGCATCAGAGAATGGCACATTTAAATTTTGAAGATTTAAATAAACTATCAGAAAGTGCAGGAGTCAAATTAGAAAATACAGACAAAGTGATATGTATCTCATGTTTGGAAGGGAAGCAGACAAGATTTCCATTCCCTTCAGAAGGTTCCAGAGCACAAGCAAAGCTAGAACTTATTCACTCTGATATCTGTGGTCCAATGGAGACACTGTCTCTGGGAGGAGCTCGCTACTTTCTTACATTCATCGATGATTTTACAAGGAAAGTATTTGTATATGTATTAAAAAGAAGATCTGAAGTATTCCAAAAATTTCAAGAATTTAAAGTATTAGTTGAAAATCAACTTGATTTGACAATAAAAACTCTCCGCACAGATAATGGGGCTGAGTACTTGAGCAATGAATTTCAGGGTTTCCTAAGAAATCTGGGATTATACATCAAACCTCCACTCCGTACTCGCCACAACAAAATCGTTTAGCGGGAAGAATGAACCGCACATTGTTAGAAAGAGCCAGATGTATGCTTTTAAATGCAAAACTTCAGAAGCATTATTGGGCAGAAGCTGGCTTACATCACCAATAGGTGTCCAACAAGAGCTTTAGCCTTTTTAACACCAGAAGAAATGTGGAGTGGTAAAAAGCCAGATATCACACATATGAAACTTTTTGGCTGTGAAGTGATGGTACATGTTCCTAAAGAAAAAGCTAAGAAGTGGGACTCAAAGACAAATAAATTGATATTCATTGGATATAGTGAACAAACCAAAGGATACAGGCTTTTAGATCCCAAAACAAGAAAAATCATTATAAGCAGAGATGTGATTTTTCTAGAAAGCTCAGTAAAAGGAAATTATGTCGTGAGTAATTATATTATGTAAATATAACATGCAAGATGCGAACTGCAATAATATCTCAGTAAGTCCACACACCATTCTGGAGAAAAGCACTGAGTATGTGGACAAGAATATTCCATACCGAGAGGCAGTTGGATCACTAATGCATCTGGCTGTGGTAAGCAGAATGTATAGCTATGCAAAAAGGTAGGGAAGCAAAGATTTTAGGCAAGAATATAATAGACTTGAGGTTGAATGCCACTGAAACAAAGCATATTGTCCTAGCAGGTTATGCTGATGAATCTGGGACTTGCTCAGGTAGCTCTTGGTGATAGACACTGGCAAAATGTGTATGCTACAGTCGATGTTGTGATTACTCTGCAAGACAACAAGTTACTTACACCGGGAGGTGTTTCGTGCATTTTCTCAGATGGAAGTTGCACAGATGTGGAGCTAGGATTCTTAACATGGGACCACCAGACAAGGAAAAACTGTGATAGAACCTCGTACCATGTTCTGTATACGGTAATCGCATCCAAAGTGATTGTTATAGAAGTCTACTGCAAGTCCAACATATACACTGTATTCTGTGAAGTCTGGAGGATTTCTAGCAACCTTAGTTAAGACTGGCGAGATTGATGTATGCGGTATGAAGATGTCAACAACTGGTCATACTAAATTGATTGTTCAAGAAGTTACAAATGGAGTTCGATACTTCTCAGATGATTTGATACCTGCTAAGGACATGGACCTTTTCCTATATGTCAATGCTAAGTTCACATATCTTGAGAGGCACACAAGAAGGAAGTTGACAAGTACAGGGTGGCCCATAAGTCCTTTGAAAAGTAGAATTTGAATAAAACGAACAGGGCGCGCGTGAGCGGTGCAGGGGAAGCGGGGGGAGTAACTTCGGTTTCTGGGAATTTAGTCGCGATGGAGCGTTTTACCGGAGCGGACCGTGCGTTTTGTGTGCGCGAGTTTTATAAAAACGACAATTCGGCAACCGTTGCGCGGCGTAAATTTCGAGAACACAAAGGTTTACACAACTTTGACGACACTCCCACTCTTCAAACGATTAAGAACTGGGTTGCTAAGTTCGAGGAGACCGGTTCGACGTTAGATAAACCGCGGTTGGGTCGCCCAAGGACGTCACGTACGGAACAAAACATAGACACAGTGACACAGTCTATTCGCGAAAATCCGNGTAAGCAGATATCTTAATTGTTTTGATCACACTCACTGGAATGTAGTCAAGAAAATAATGAAATATTTAAAAGAAACTAAGGACTATGGCATTTGTTACACATCATCTCAGCAAAATAAAATTGAAGCTTATAGTGATGCTGATTTTGCTAAAGATAGTGCCACCCGAAAATCATTAACTGGGTATGTGTTCATTAAAAATGGAGCCGCCATAACATGGGCAACACAACGTCAGCAAAGTGTTGCTTTATCCACCACAGAGGCAGAATTTATGGCTGCTTGCTCTGCGACAAAAGAAGCTTTGTGGTTAAAGAGAATGTTATTAGATATTGGTGAATTTAATCAAGATTCTATATGCTTAAATATGGACAATCAAAGTGCAATCTGTTTAATTAAAAATGTGGACTATCACAAACGCTGTAAGCACATTGATGTTAAATATAATTTTATTAAAGAAAAATATAATGAAAAACATATAGATTTAAATTATGTTTGTACTAAAGAACAATATGCTGATATATTCACTAAAGCTCTGCCTAGGGATAAGTTTCAGTATCTTAGGAGTAAGCTTGGTATTAAGAAATTGAAATAGTTTGTTAATACTGTATTAAACTTAATATAAGCTTTGGTCAGTTTGATGACTTAATTGTGTTTTAAGTTCAGATTGTTTTATATGTTCTAATGATATCTATGTATTTAAGTTAGAGGGTTCAAATTTGGTGAGAGTGTTGAAATTAGAAAGTTGAACCCTACTTTATAGTCTATTGGTGTGATGAGTATATCTCTAGTTTATACATTAAGATAGTCTATGTTATATCTGTGATTCCGTTTCCGGGTAATTGTTAGAACGCTCTCAATTAGAACTACGTGTTATAAAACTGCTTTACTTTCATTTAATTCAACAACCGGCTTACAAAATGCCGTACCATCAGTAATTTTGTAACACGATATTTTTCCTAAATCATGAAAGTCATTTATGGTAAGTAGGTATTTCATTTTTAAAAATGGTACTTGCCTACGGGATTTGAACACAGATAATACGTGTATGCCGGGGTCATCCATTTGTTAGGCCACGACGACTTCTGAAGTGTGTCATTTGAGATTGCCAATGATGACTTTTCGTGATTTCGGTTAGTTACCGAAGATTTTTGAACGTGATATATACATATGTTCAGGGATACGATTAATCTGCGAGAAACGATCACGCATCAATACTAAGTGTTCCTCTCGTAAGCAGTTTTGATCCGCTGATAGAAGGGATCTTCTTTTGATTAACTGTTGGACACGGATCTTCTTCTGGTCAATGGCTTTTACATGGTAAGGCGAGACTTTGGCTCCGTCTACAGGATGTCCCTTCTTTTGTAAGATAACAAGTGTAATCTTCCATGGTAACGGAAACTGACACGATTCGATTTCCAAATTGGAATACCTCTGAACTCTCGTTCTCCAGGCATCAATAGTCACAACAGACCTTAGAAGCTGTTAGGTTAAGGTCCGCATCCTAATTGTATATCTAAGCCTCATCAGCTCGTAGATCATCAAGATTTTACCGCTCAGAAGTTTTTGCACTATTGTTCATCCTGTTTCCAGTAATTACTGGAACTGAAGATACTCAGCAATGAAGAGCATCCGCTATAGTATATTCTTTCAATCTTGAAAGGGTGCTTCCGCCGTTGTCCATTAAAGATTTTGTGTTTAGTTTCTTGGTCTTGATGGTCCGCCGCACGACTGTGAAGGCTTTCTGGCCGTTACTTTCCTTGCCAGAGACTTCTCCTCTTTTCTAGCGGAGTATATCACTGTCAGTACTGCAACCAGACGCACAGGCCACATATAGGAAGCCCAGCCGGCAGAGTCGTCTAGTTGATAGAACGACACACTGCGGCGGCCGTCTGGCGGTGCGACTGTTTTTTTTTATTACTAGTATAGATAGACAAGTTTACGGCCTACCTGGTGTTAAGTCACCAGAGCTCATAGACTTTGAGAAATGAGTCTAAATTTCAGTTTTCAGTAAAAAGAGGTGTCTTTCAGACCTACTACCAACATACGGTCCGTTTGATAAACCAGGTGAAGAGACGGGACGAGTTTTTTTTTGTCGTATCCAAGCCACTACTGGTCGTCATGCGATCCAGCGAGGTAGCTCTTTGGAAGCTTAGGAACGAAGATCCCGAACTTGTAGTTGTACCAGTTCAGGCTCAGTAGCATTTATAGTTGGAGACTAAAAAGTCATCCAAGCTACTACGGCATAGGGACAGATAGGAATTTAAGGTTAGGATACCACTACTGCAGAAAGCTTATGGGCTTGAGGCAGTTAGTGGTAGCTCGAGGAGGCCGGGGTCGCATACCCGTATCTTCCGATTAATAGCAGTTAGGCTATTATAATCGAAGATCCTCTGGCCGTTGCCATTGTTTCTATCGGATTATTTACTGTTTTAAAACGGGTAAAAGGCGAAAATACTTCGCGGTTGGAGGGTATATCTCACTGGAACCGGTCACCGTAGGCTGTTCCATCAGAAATAATAGATCGAGGGTGCTAGAAGAATTCGTGAAAGAGAAAGTAGAAGCTAGAGGTGGCCGGAGTCGCGTACCCGTATCCCCTGATTTAAATTTATTGTTGTTTTGGTTAATATTAAGATTTTTATAAAATCTCCTTAAACCTTTTAAAGTATTCTATCGGTAAGTACGGTAAGTGAATTCACGAAATTCTAATTTGCTCACTGTGAACTAATTCTAAGGGTTTGAATGAAATAAAACAATTACATTTTGAATTATTTTTTATATTTAGCGCAGCTCACGTGGAGCACAATGACTGATCGCATCAATCATCAAACTGGGGAAAAGCTTTACTTACATTTGATGCATTACGCTATAGAGAAATACATTTTATGTGTGCCATATCAGCAAATTTTTAAATTGCCGATATAGGATGATCGGTATATGTGTTTAGTAGAAGAACGCACGTATACCGATCACAATTTATAATAACAATAATCGTCGCGAGGACGAAGTGGCTTCTAGAGATACAAACCAACGACGTGCGGACAAGTTTAGAATGATTGTGATAACATCTTCGAAACGAGTCCGTACTACGGCACGTCCAGTTACTTGGTTATTCTTAAACCTAATTTACAGCACGTTCACAGAACACCTTACAACTACAAGAACCAGGAAACGAGATGTGTCGCCGTTGTCGATCAAAACAAGCCAATCAATGTTATCTAAAACGTGAATCGCAGTCTACGCAGACAAACAATAGCTTAGACTCGTGACATTCCAGATAACATTACCAGAGTTCTTCACTCTCCCAGTTACATTCGTAACATCTAAACAAGTGCGTTTTAGGTAAATACATATGTTCCGTTCTCCTCGCTTTTACAGAAACAAATTTGCGACGAATCTCGTATCGTTGCCTTGCTACTGAAAAGTTTGGGTAGGAGTAGAAGACATGATGTGACTTCAAGTTTGATTCTGTAGGTGTTGTAAAGACAGGGATAAATGGTAGGAAGAAGGCGAGGGGAGGAAACAAGAAGGGGAAGATTTAAAACCTACAACCAAAGTAAAAACCGTGCTTGGTATACATTCTTTACAATTTCTTTACATTTACTTCGCGGAATCTATACTTAATTCAGTACTTAGCGCAAAATGTCCATTCTCACCGAACGTCGCTCTATGTTTCAATCACATCAGTTCAGCAAATCAGCAGCCATACTTTACTCAGCTTACGTTTAACTTAATATATGAAAAACAAACGAACTGCTGATTGTTTATTCAACAAGAGGGGGTTCTGAAATGATAGGTCAAAAGAAACATAGCCACGGCGTGCGTTGAGGTCCAAGTCTATCAGAACGTATACAACTGACATACCATAGGTGTCGTGCTGAAGATGATTAACTCTCTACGCCTGCCATACTAAAATTTGGATCAAGAACAGGAATATTAAAATTATTTAAAACTGCGTTGACATCAGCGACAAGAGCGGTTTGGTTCTGGTCATTAAATTAGGCTACATTTGTAAGTTCGAGGAAACATCTTTACACAACACGTACTGAAGGTGAAAAATAGCACTTTAGTGGAAAACATACCAAAATGTAGATAGGACCAGAACATTTGTAAAATTCAAGGTTTGAATCGTACTAATGGAGCATACTGCCTCTGACCATGAATTAACAGCTCCAATGAATTTTCATATGGGCAAAATTCTTAATATTAACATTTTCACTTTCGTGCTCAGGACTGATCCCGGACCTCAAATTTTACCAATGTGTGCGTATACAGTCATAATTTGATGATTATGATAATAAGATCTTAGTATATTTTGTTAATCGTAACCAACCATACGTGGCGGCAATGTAAGATGGGCCCGAGACGACAATATATTGAGTATCATTCGGCGCATACTGTCGCTTCAGAGACGTCAAGAAGAATAAGAGACGTGTAAGAAATAGTTGAATTTGGGTAAGAGAGAACAGAAGGGGAAGGGGAAGGTTGCCAGAGCCTCGTTCGTTGGTCGGCAGGGTGCACCGCGGGCAGGTGAGGTTGGCTTTGGCTAGATTGTTGGCAGTTTAGCCACTTACACCCCGGGGCGTAAAGATTAACGTCCTATAGTTACAGTAATTTGATCAGCTTGTTTAAATTGACATTTGAATCTAAAATAATTAAAAATGAACAATTAATAGGTAGTCAGCATTTCAAAATTCTTTAAATACACAACGTGTGAGGTATCGCGATTGTTTAATTATTGTTTCAATTAGTCTAGTTAAAAACTTTTTGTCAGTAAATTCGAAAGTTTAAGAAAAGTTAGAAATAAAAATTATTTTAACACAAACAATTATTCTATTAAATATTTTATGAATTGTCGAAACTGCTAATCTAAAATTGAAGTCGTAATGTATTGTTCGTTTGATTGCAGAGAGTATGCGCCGAAGTTAACCAGGTCCAGCCTGATCGCATGAAAGTGTTTGACACTCATTTAGGATTGTGATTTCGTGTTCGTTAATGTCTCTAAGGAAAATTTCGTCTGCAACGGGGTCGTGGGTCCTCTATCTCCATATAATAGCGACGTTCGGGTCTTCTTCAATGATTTGCTCGAGGGTCGGGAGGTCGATGCGAGCGAGACAGCAGATTTCATCGGCGCAATGTTTGCCAGTGAACAGTCTGCGTATGCCGAGAACGGGGTCTACGCGGGTGTTGAAACCGTTATGCCGAGGAGGATTTCGAAGATATACTGGATACCTAGGATTAATTGAAAATTTTATTGGAGGCACTACAAATAAATATATATTGTATTGGTGAATAAAGCTTTTATCGACTTTATTACCTTTTTAAGCATTTGATGAGGCCGTGGATCTGAGCGAAGACAACCAGTCGTCTGATGTCGAAGTTGGGTCGAGCAGAGTTGGAGAAGCGGTCGCTGACAGTCCTCAGGGTTGTACCTTGTTGCAGCGAACACAGTATCTCCAGGACGTCTGACAGAGTTGGCTGAATAAAGAGAATTATTTATGTAATTTTCCATAATCAATTATAGATTAGAAACACATTATATACATTCGCAATATGCTGTAGTCACTTAGCAGATCCGCCAACAGCTTAGACGCTACCGTCACCTATGCCTTATTTATCAACTAACAAGCTGCAAATCGTGGAACAGACTTCTTTACGTATGTCTTAAAGAAAAAAAAATGAAAAGTCCACATGATATTGCGAGATATATAGAGCATAAGAGTGTACGGCATATGCATTTCTAATTTTCTACAACATTATTATAGACATTATTATCTCTACTGAGTCGACTGTTTTTTTTTATTATACTATTACAATTAGGTATTAGTTCTTTACAAAATAATGAATTTTGGTTGATGTATTTAAACCTGTTGACAGGTACCCAGTAGGGATGTTTTTTTGGGATATGGACGATTGGGAATTTGTTTTATTTACGTACATGCCATTCCCAGGAACTCCAGAGGATCTTTTAGTTACTTCAGCTCCTAGATTCTTCAAAATGGATGTTCAAAGTTAATACGCTGGTTACACAAGAGATGGCGTTCTCTCTTTTTTGCCTTCACTGATACCATAGTAAAGTCGGGATTTCCATCTAACGCTTTCACAGATTTTGTAGAAGCAAATCACAGGTTCCTAAACATGTATTTTCTACGATTTTCGCGTGTCGTAGACATAATTAGAATTACTTTTATGGTTTAATCTCGGGATTTATTATTACTACAGACGTAACGAATACTAAACAATTTTCCTTTTCAGTGACGACTAAGGTCGTCGACATTTGAATAGTCTGCTAACCGCTGTTTTTATAATATTAAGAAATAACTACGAGATTAAAATCGTAAAAGTAATTATAATCGTAATTAATATAAAAATGTATAATAGTTTTTTTTATTGCTTAGATGGCTGGACGAGCTCACAGCCCACCTGGTTTTAAGTGGTTACTGGAGCCCATAGACATCTACAACGTAAATGCGCTACCCACCTTGAGATATAAGTTGTAAGGTCTCAGTATAGTTACAACGGCTGCCCCGCCCTTCAAACCGAAACGCATTACTGCTTCACGGCAGAAATAGGCAGGGTGGTGGTACCTACCCGTGCGGACTCACAAGAGGTCCTACCACCAGTAAAACGTAAGATTTAAAACTTAGTTAATTATTCAGAACGAAGACTATGAATGTAATTTACATTATCTCCGGAAGAGTTTTGGAACTTGGTATGACTATGTTGCTTCCCATTCAACTATATGGTACGATGGATAATCGTTTTGTGGTTTAGAATAAAATATAATAAACATGCATATTTCGAGGAAGAAATGAAATTTTATTGTAAAAAAAATATATTTAATATTTCTGTAAAATAGGAGTATAAAAAGCTTAGAAATAAACTACAACTAAAAAAAATCGCGCAACAAAAACAAAAAAGATAGGTTTCCATATCTTTAAAAAAACAGTGTCAATAGATGAACAATCTGCAGGGCACATGGATCAAATCAGGACTACGACTAATATAGGAAAACAAGTGTGGTTTGGGGTTATATGCAGAACAAGTAAGCTTTTCGACAACGACTAGCAACTTAGTCACACACTTGGACACTCGCATGATCAAGATCGTTTTTAGTCGCTCATACAATAGGCAAGTGTGTCGTGTCTGTATTCTTCTCCCCAGAAAACAGAGGGACCAGGTGACTGGACTGTTCCTGTGATATGTTTACCCGGGGATCTTTCAACAATATACCTGAAAATCTAGTCACTTTGCACCTTCATTAATATGCCGTAACAACTACAGTATATGGTTTTTATTTTAGCTATATGTGTGTATCTGTTTTATGTGTTCATGTAATCATAAGCTATTTAAATTATTACTGGTGGTAGGACGTCTTGCGAGTCCACAAGGGTAGGTACTACAACCCTGCCTATATCTGCCGTGAAGCAGTAATGTGTTTCGCACAAGAAAAAGAAAAGAAAAAAGTTGAAGTCCAATGTCGGGATATTCATGTATGAGTATCGTTTAGCGCTGTAGTGTTTGTCAACTCCTGTATTGTCGCTACTCTGTGTTTTTTAACATGTAACTGCATATCGGACTCTATTCGTTATATCGTTCAGAGGCGGCGCAACATATTTAAAATCAGCAACATTCTAGGTTGTATTACTTTTTCCTGATTTTTATCTAATAAGTACCTATAAATACGCTCAACCATGAAACTAAACAGTCACAGGCAGTGCTAAAACTCTTGAATGTATGTTTAGTCCTATTGTACATTAATTTAAACCGACACTAATGCGTATTTTATTAACAATAAAAAAAAAACGCCTTGACTTTAAACAAAATCGTACCAACCAATTCCAGTAAAGCATTTCAAGAATACAAAAAAATAAGTAAACAAAGATGAAACAAGTATACATATTACATATACATTTGCGCAACTAAAGAATATGTAATGTGAGAAATCTACAGATATACGTATATCATGGTATATACTCGTATGTATATGTCAGATTTAAATTCTGTGACGGTGAAAATTCATATTTCGAAATGGAGGGTTGAAGCAACATGTATGATTGTTGAACAGTCGAGACAATTTAAGCATTGAAAACTCAATCACTTCAAACGTTCAAAGACAAAGTCTTGATTAAAAAAGCCATTTATAATGTAACCAATCAAATAAACTGAGCAATATTTAATAAGGACACGGGTAATTGTACCAAGTGTCATTCAACTTCCAAATGATCTCACAGGAAGATATTTCTGAATTCTTACTATCCGACTTATAACGACTTCTTACTATAAATAATTTTTTTAAAGATTAATATTAAAATAAAATAAATTTGAGTTTTATCATTGTGCATGAAGGAACAAGATGACCAGATTGTACCCTAATTGAAATCCGCATTAAAATTGGCGGGAGCAGCGGGACTACTCTTTAATACATTAAAACAATCACGACGATTATTTTGATACCTCGTTTTGTTCGGTAACCCATCCATTGTTTGTTTATAAAAGATTCCCTTTTTCATAACAGACATCCTGGTTGGGCTCTGGTTAGTTTGTCATCGTGAGTGTAGTAGATATGTTGATTTGCTTTTCGCTTTAAAACAGACACTGCGCAGTGCTCTGAAGTGTTTTGCCGAAGTGATATTTTGTACTCTGGGGTATATTTGTTATTGGCATTGAGCACTGCAGTTCAGCAGTAGCATGGCGGGTTTATTGTCTTCAACGGATGGCTCTTCTAATTGACTTATGATGATTAACAGTTATGGATACGATGCTATTTAATGATGTGGGGTGCTGTTTGATTGCCTGCAAAAATATGCGGTTGTTAATATGTTGAAGTACATAAAATAGATTAAAGCCATGTATGTACGAGTTAAAAGAGTCAATAAAAAGAAAGTTATTACATTGAGATTAAATAATCCATTTATCATTCAATATACTATATATATTTAATATCTTCTGTTATTGGACTAAATTGAATTTGGTTACCTTTGTCGATTGTTATACTGAATAATTAGGTAATAAAAATTGACACAAAACCTTCTGACTTTATACAATACCGTGGCGATGACAGTGTTGTCTACTATTACGAAGAGTCGTGTCGGATCCACTAGACAAACCAGTTCAGTTTTCGACAAGGTTAAAGTGCCACCCATTTTTCTTTGTTTTTTCTCAGGGGCTTTGTAACCATTGTTTGATAGTAGTCCGTGCTGTCTTCCTCGTATTTGGTGAAATTCTTGTTGTTGTCCTACTGTAATCTGTGTCGAATTGAGGATAGCTTACATCCGGATTTCAGCAATAAGGTGATTATTGATTCTTGTTCTTCATTAATAAGAATCCGTAATCCACTTATTGCCGATCGGACATTAGGCATCCTACATACTTACCATATGGCCTCAACCCATACTGAATCATTACGTTAAGGATTTTATTGGTAAAGTAGTCATACCAGCCGGATTAGGGTATAAAAGAAAAATTGGGATCTGTTCATTCCGCAGCGCTCACTCTAGCCAAGTCTCTCATTCCTCCTTGCATACAACTGGTATGACTTGTAACTACGGAAAGTAAACGCAGAGCAATTGAAAACTATTTTCATTTTAAAACTTAAAATCTATCTATACACATTTTTATTAAATCATATTTATATTTTGATGACGGAATCGTAAGCACATCTATCGTGTGTTATGGGAAAGAGTGTAAATGTAGTATTTCATGTACAATTATGTATTGCGAGGTGTCACTGTAAATCAATTGACAAATATATCGGGTTCATGTCAATTTAAATAAGTTGAAAAGGCCCAGAGTCCAGGGAAAACTGGTAACTCATAGCTTAAAAATTAAGAAAGTGATAAAGTTTCGCAGAGTGTTAAGACTCAGTATTGGATGGCTAAAGACTTTGGGAAGTCAAAGTAGCATCTAACTTCAAAGTACGTTTTCGCGTGTATCCTTTAGTAGTAGTGTGCTGGTGAGTGAATTCATAAAATAAGTAATTATAAGAACACCTTGTTAAATTTGCTTCCCTTACTTATTGTTCCAAATATAATTTAATCTATATCACATGGTTGGCCAACATGTATCCGGTCTAGGACTATGTTTTTCAAAAGTATTACATGTTTGTTTTAATGTTTTCTATGGCATAGAAATAATATAATCAGATATTAGTATGACAGGGACAAGTATAATATTATGTTTATTTTGTGAGTAGGCCAGTGAATTTTTAAGTAATGGTGTTCTTGCATATACATGTGTGTTTAATGTCACAGAGTGCTGTTCTTTCCTTTTTCTCGACCGAGTCGTGATATAAATATTATTATGTGTATATTTAGATTCTTATAAACAACACATATCAACATTGTGATTTCATTGGTTCGAAAAGTTCGCTTGAAACAAATTTGTCTTCTTCATTATTATTTTTACTATATTGTGATCGTTTTTTTAACTATAAATAAGTATTACGGTTTCAGAATTTGTTTAAGACTTGCCATTTAAGTCCTTAATTTGGCTACCTCTACTTTTATTACTCAATTAAATTAATCCAATTTTATGTTTGTTTAAAGTACAGAATAGATTATACGATTAGATTTTTTTGGAAGATACTTAAATATGTAGTAGGAAATAAATTTGAATTTTGCGATATTAGTTGCATCTAATGATTTTAATAATAATTTAATTGGAATTCATCCTATAGCTAATTTTGTAAAAAAACTTAGCGAACTTTTCTTTTCTTAAAAATCATTAGTGGATTAAATATCAGTAGACAATGTTGATGTGTATACACAATTCAATGAATATTTCAGAACGTAATCTTTTTACGTTTTATCAAATCCCATTTATAATTTTTTGCATATATAGTGATTACACTTAAAACTATGATTAAATACGCGCAGCACTTACGAACTATTTTCATGATATATTAATTATATTTTGGTAAAGGATATAACGGAATTTTAATTCCATAACACTTTTTAAAAATATAATTCGTGAAGCGTATTGTTTTTGAGTACTTCGATCGATACCGATATATGAAAATATCTTTGTAACGGTTTCTTGACGCCTCCACCAGTATGACATGCACACATACACATTTACACATCAATTATCATTTATTGAAGTAATATTTAAACGTTTGCATATTATTACGCATTGCAGTTAAAAAAAAAGAAAAAATGTGAATGAAAACGGAAAATTGCAGAACTTCTACTTTAACGGCAAAGAAAAAAAAAAGAAAAGAGCTGTTTTCTAAACTTTTCTACACAGACAAATCTGGTTCCACATTGGAGAACATTCAAGTGACTATGAAAGTACCCGAAACACACTTGTACCTTTCCTATTAAATAAGGGCTTCGTAGTTTAAAGATAACATTTTTTCATTGAAAATAAAAATTGTTCACACAATGAACTTGTGACACAATTTCACTGCATTGACCTAAAAAATGCTCCTGCGAGCTGAAATTGACTTCCTTAGCTAGACTATACCACTCGATCGATATCGATAATTACACATGGAATGCTGACAACGTCATATCGTGTCGAGATTTTTGGCCCTGAGGAACTGCCACTTCGTAGGATGCACCGAAATAGCAGCTGTCCCTTCATAGCGAGATGCCAGAGGTTAGACGAAGAAGAATCAAATAGTTGAAACGCTAAAGTAACTTGAGAAGTAATGGCGTTCCCGCATTCACAAGCTACAGTAGTGTCGGGGACAACTGGAGCTTTCGCCTAGGAGGCCGGAGAACCATGTGACAGCTATGTAGATAGTTAGCTTGGAGTAGATCCAAGATGTGTAAGTTGTGCCTTATGACACAGATTACATTGACAATTAGATTGTCCGTTTTAAACGGACCAGAGTTATTTAGCGACATCTATGAACACCAATTCTATCTACGACACAGAATACCGAGCTTTCTCACCGGCGAATATCGTAAATTCACAATTCATATAGCTATTGATTGACATTTCAAAGAAGATCATAATGGTCATAAAATTTATCTAGCCTAGTATTAAGTTATATTTAACGATTTTTTTAAATTTATACTCGATTATACAATGCGATTTACAACATTCACCGTGAAACCGGTCGATATTTTCAAGAGACAACATCGAATCTATTCTACAACTACACCATCAATCTCTCCTGTCGATTGTCAACATCAATTCTGTTTCTACAATCTTCTCCGACTTTTGAGTCGCTGTTTTTACTTCATTGAGCGGCATGAAATATTGACCTACACGACTACACTATCAAATAAAACCCTGGTATCTCCGGGAAGGTTTTTTGAAACCTTTTTTTTTGTATTCTTCTTATGGTCTTGCCCTGCTTTACGATGGATCCGACTCGTTCTAGCAACAATGAAATGAACTACAGCTCTATTTGTCTACAAATCTAGGAGTGTATGCAACGCTTAATTTATAATAGCTATACTACGGATCTGTTGGCTACCCATATATATATTTGAGCTTGAATCGTGAACAAGTCACGGCCCCACCTGGTGTTAAGTGGTTTTGGGAGTCTATGACAGCTTGATTGACGTCATATACTTCGAGACACGAGATCGAAGTCGTTATTATCTCTCCCTTCAAACCGAAATGGTTCGCAGTAGAAATAGGCAGGATGGTAGTACCTACTCGAGCGAGCTCATATAACATACCGAATCAATTATTACGTAAATTCATAGATTTTTAATATACTATGATATTCCTTCATTGCAGAAGTCAATCGTGAACAAGTGTGAAGTACATTTCCTTAGGAAAATAGGAATCTGGCTGAGGATTTGAACGATAGTGCTAACGCATCGCTCGATACCAGTACCCAGCTTTTCGGTTGACGATACCAGTCTGGAGTACGGGCCACGTTTCATTAAATCCACATTTGAACATCGTTTTGAAACGAATTGTTCATTTTAAGACTAAGGGGTCAAAATTCTGTAGCTTGGAATTTTTCGATTCTATGTAGATCAATAACCGACTAAATCGTACCTTCTCTTTCAGTTCGGAGCCCTTGATGATGAATGTCATGCAGGACTTCTGTAGCTCTGGTTCATTGAATAGTCGGCTCAAGTTTGGTGTCGCTCTGTACATGTTATTGAACTTCAAGACCGGAATCAAAGTGATCTGCAACAATAGATAATTGTGCTTTGCCACGATAAATTTATTTAACAATGCTTAAAATCAACTCAATTAATACCATGTCATACTCATCAAACACAAAATATTAAACCCTGAAAAGCTTGACACCACATATCATTATCTGTTGCGACTTTGATGTTGCATTAAAGAAAATGCATCATGTGCTTGTCTAACTTTGGATGGCAAAGTTTCATTTACATGAAATGCAGTAGTCTTCTCCTGGCCTACAATATTAGCTTTTTAAAAAAAAAGGAAGTAGAATAGATACTTGTTGATTTAATAATTTGAGACAATTATACAAGGTGTCCCTAAAAGATACGCTTTTAAGCCAAAAGCCATCAAATCAATCCGAAACGTGGCCACAGTGTCGACAATGTAAACCACGTCAAAAATGTTAAAAGAATTCTCCATCGTAAATAGTACTTACGTACAAAAACTCATTTATTGATTGATTTAACTGTTCGATTTATAAAACAAAGGTACCGTTAGACCGTTCATTCAGTTAAACGCGACAGTTAACGAGTTAGAAAATAACAAACTTGTTCAACTCATTTGGAACGATAAATAGGACAAAAATTCAACAATATTAGTAGCATTTTTATAGGAACATTAAGATCAAAACCCTTTGTAAATTTCGTATAACTTTTTCTTCGATTTCCGAAAGCAATCCGAAGTTCCTGGCGTTTTTAACAATAGTTTTTATTTTTTCGTTTGAGGAAGTTATAAAGTTTAGTTTATTTTATGGTTTACGGACACAAATATTTGTGAGACGAAAGTGATTAAAGTTATAGCTTACATAACCCGGACCTAGAAGGTACAGATTGTTCATCACGTGCGAAAGAGGGATTAATGAAAACGATACCACAGGGCCTATTAAATAGGCGGAGATAAAATGTATTTAGTATGCTAATTCAATTCGTACATACGACCAGTACCAATACGTTTACTTCGCAATTATTTCGTTTGATATTATACTCTTTGTGGTCCCACCCGTCATAATGAACCAAGACGTATAATAATATATATTGACCTTGAATAATTATCTCAATATAGACAATTCGTCAATTTCGGAACCTTTCAAGGACATTCACGTGAGACCGCGAAAGATGACCGATTCAGATTTCTATTGTTGCGGGTGTGGCCTAAAAATGCGCAGAGATGTAACCTCATGCCTTATGAAATGTAAAATACGTGCGTAGATTTTGACCATAATAAGCATTTAGACAATTAATAATGTTATTACGAAATTCTAAATTTAAATTAAAGCTTGGTTTCCGCGTAAGTAAAATTACCATCTCATTAATTATTTACTGGTATTGAGCATAAAGAGAAGATGAATGCGTCACTAGAACTAAGCCTTCGCAATGACAAGCCGTCGGAGTATATAGTTTACATTTTAGAACATTTATTCAGCGACATCTTTTCAATGTAGAACTGTTGGAGTCGACCGAAGTGGCTTTACTAAATGACGGAGAGTGCAACGAGTGCACACTGCAGTGCATCGATAGCTTGGAGTGTGCGTAGTCTAGTTTTTTTTCAAAATTAAGGTGTGGTCTACAAATGCGCGGTTCACCCTACGGTGTTGGATATCGCGAGAGTATGATAACAATGCTATTTATATAATTACTTACTGGTATTGTGGACATTAAGAGAAGAGGACCACATCACATGATTTGAGCCGACGAGAAATATCCGAGTTCACGAAACAGAAAATCGTTGAGTATTTAATTCACTTTTAAAATATTCCTAGAACGTAATATTACCAATACCATTATTTAATGATGGGGAGTGCAACGAGTGAACACTGCAGTACTTCGATAGGTTGGAGCGTGCTTAGTCTAGCCATTTTTTTTAAATTAAGGTGTGGTCTACACATGCGCGGTTCACCCTGCTGTGTTGGATATCGCAAGAGTATGATAAAAATGCTATTTAAATAATTATTTACTGGTACTGAGCACAAAATCAGACCAGGACCGTGTGTCACTAGAATTGTACTCACGAAAAATATCAGAAAAAAATTCTTGAAAAAAATCTTTCTAATTTGCGACTGATGGAGTCGGGAGATGCATAATGACTAGATGGCACCGTGTGCAACGACTGCACGCTGCGGTGCATCGATAGTTTGGAGCGTGCGCAGTCTAACCTTCTTTTTAAATTAAGGTGTGGTCTACACATGCGCGGTTCACCCTGCTCTGTTGGACATAGCGAGAGTATGATAAAAATGCTATTTAAATAATTACTTACTGGAACTGAGCACAAAATCAGACGAGGATCGCGTCATTAGAATTGTGTTCACGAAAAACATCTAAAAATAATTCTCGAAACGTAATCTTTCTAATTTGCGACTGATGGAGTCGGGAGATGCATGTTGACTAAATGGCGCCGTGTGCAACGACTGCACGTTGCGATGCATCGATAGTTTGGAGCGTGCGCAGTCTAGCCATTTTTTAAATTAAGGTGTGGTCAAGACATGCGCGGTTCACCCTTGCCTTGTTGGATATCGTGAGGGTATGATAAAAATGCTATTTAAATAATTACTTACTGGAACTGAGCACAATATCAGACGAGGACCGTGTCACTAGAATTTTATTCACGAAAAATATCAGAAAAAAGATCTTGAAACAAAATCTTTCTAAATTGCGACTGATGGAGTCGGGAGATGCATGTTGACTAAATAGCGCCGTGTGCAACGACTGCACGTTGCGATGCATCGATAGTTTGGAGCGTGCGCAGTCCAGCCATTTTTTAAATTAAGGTGTGGTCTAAACATGCGCGGTTTACCCTGCTGTGTCAGATAATCGCGACAATATGATAAAAATGCTATTTAAATAATTACTTGCTGGTATTGTGAACATAATTAGACGAGGACCGCGTCATTAAAATTGTGCTCACGAAAAATATCAGAAAAATAATTCTCGAAACGTAATCTTTCTAATTTGCGACTCATGGAGTCGGGAGATGCATGATGATTAGATGGCACCGTGTGCAACGATTGCACGCTGCGGTGCATCGATAGTTTGGAGCGTGCGCAGTCTAGCCTTTTTTTTAAATTAAGGTGTGGTCAAGACATGCGCGGTTCACCCTGCTGTGTTGGATATCGCGAGTATGATAAGAATGCTATTTAAATAATTACTTACTGGAACTGAGCACAAAATCAGACGAGGATCGCGTCATTAGAATTGTGTTCACGAAAAACATATAAAAATAATTCTCGAAACGTAATCTTTCTAATTTGCGACTGATGGAGTCGGGAGATGCATGTTGACTAAATGGCGCCGTGTGCAACGACTGCACGTTGCGATGCATCGATAGTTTGGAGCGTGCGCAGTCTAGTCCTTTTTTTTAATTAAGGTGTGGTCTAGACATGCGCGGTTCACCCTGCCTTGTTGGATATCGTGAGAGTATGATAAAAATGCTATTTAAATAATTACTTACTGGAACTAAGCACAAAATCAGACGAGGACCGTGTCACTAGAATTTTATTCACGAAAAATATCAGAAAAAAGATCTTGAAACAAAATCTTTCTAAATTGCGACTAATGGAGTCGGGAGATGCATGTTGACTAAATGGCGCCGTGTGCAACGACTGCACGTTGCGATGCATCGATAGTTTGGAGCGTGCGCAGTCCAGCCATTTTTTAAATTAAGGTGTGGTCTAAACATGCGCGGTTCACCCTGCTGTGTCAGATAATCGCGAGAATATGATAAAAATTCTATTTAAATAATTACTTACTGGAACTGAGCACAATATCAGACGAGGACCGTGTCACTAGAATTTTATTCACGAAAAATATCAGAAAAAAGATCTTGAAACAAAATCTTTCAAAATTGCGACTGATGGAGTCGGGAGATGCATGTTGACTAGATGGCGCCGTGTGCAACGACTGCACGCTGCGGTGCATCGATGGTTTCGAGCGTGCGCAGTCAAGCCATTTTTTAAATTAAGGTGTGGTCAAGACATGTGCGGTTCACCCTGCTGTGTCAGATAATCGCGAGAATATGATAAAAATTCTATTTAAATAATTACTTACTGGAACTGAGCACAATATCAGACGAGGACCGTGTCACTAAAATTGTGCTCACGAAAAATATCAGAAAAAAATTCTTGAAACAAAATCTTTCTAAATTGCGACTGATGGAGTCGGCAGATGCATCTTGACTAGATGGCGCCATGTGCAACGACTGCG